CGACCCGTTGCCAAATACAGAGCAGTACCCTACGTCGTACTTCCCACACACCTGTCCCACAAATTCACCACACTCGAGGGACGTATTCTTAGACGTTGCCAATATCTTCCCTATCGCTCCCCCAGCGGAGAAGTTTTCGGAAACATCTCCAACACCCCCCATCCTCACACGTTTCCAAACCCTCAGGAAACAATACGTCTCTCGCACGCTGAAAGGCACCAAGACACACTCTCAAGACACTCTACTAACCCTATGGCGCCCAAACCTACTTCCACTTTTTCGAAAACTGAAACGAAAAATGCCACAACCAAATCTGAAACTTCTCTCAGACTCCCAAGACCTCCCCCTCACCGCTGAACTCCAGGATCTGCTGGAATCAGCCCCTCTAAGTATTAGATAAACCCTTCCCAATCATATAATTAGAAATTCACAATATATGTACAATATCGGGATTTAGGTTTTGTGGTTTTCCTAAATCATATTCCCCACCCTATACTTGGACTTGTCCATTTATGGGGTTGGAAATAGCAAAATTGGCGGTGTTTTGGGGAACACAACCTGCCACACAGGTCCCACACGCGCACACGATACCATTATAAAATAGGTTACTTTTGTAATCAGGGCAGACTACCCTGAAAAGGAAGATAACTCCTATAGCAGGGAAATAGGAAAATAAAATGTCCTAGAAAAATGTAAAACACCTATATAAAAATCGATAATAAAATAAAATAAAAAAAAATAATTGCCACACAGTCTCCTCCTCCCTCCCAGCTCTCTCACTTATCCTTTAAGCCATCCTTGCAACATCGAGAAGGACGCCAAGCTTAGCTTGTATTAGAATAAATTCTAAGATCCTTCATTCGTTTGTCAGTGTTACATTTTTAAAATTTAATTACTGCTTCAACTATAGGTATATTATTAAAATAATATTTTGCATATTTTAAGATATTGTTTTCGCTCCTCTTTAAGATGATCTTTCATTGCGATCTTTTATTTACATTTTTTTTGAGCCCTCTTCACCTACACTTATATATTTTTCTTTTTTCATAATATTAATTATTATGCTTTCATAAACGTAAATTAAATAAAATAAAGTATTTTTTTGTTTTGCATAACTAGAACTATGGTAGAAAAAGTCATGTAGTAATATTTCATTACTGCTGTCAAGTTTTTACTGCACTCAGACTTCCGTTGCAATAACCTTGTAATTTAAGTAATATTTGCCTTTAAAGCGTAATATATAAATAATTGTATTTTATTTATCCATGCACTTTCATTTAGGTAATCTAATTTTCAGATTTCATTGTAAAAAAGTCATTACACATTAATGCGCCTTTAAAAATCTGAGAATGTAATTGAACTTAAAATAAACGAATAACAATAATTTTCAATGGGTTTTGTTTTGAGCCTTACATTCTAATTATAGCCTCATTCATTTGGAACCCAAAGAGATTGTTAATTGCCTAAAATTCTTAGAAAGTGGATAAACAACCAAAAACAATATAAGAAAATATACTCACTTAAAAGTGAAACATTTAATAAATGGGTGTAGGTAATGATGAAAGTTAATGAGTTGTACAACAGTATGGAATTTCGGTATAATTTTATAGTTTAAAATTGTCATATCACAACAGTGGGTGTTTTGTAACTATAACAAACCTTTAGGGGTGGTAGAATCCGATTACAATAAGAAGAACACCGCTACGTCATAACCAATACTTGGAATTTCAAATACATAGGATCTATAACAATAAATTAATAAATAATAAGTAAGTTATTGGGTGTATTAAAATATTTTCTATATTCCTATAATATTAACACGCCATTAAACCCCTAATAGGCGGCGATAGTTAATGAATTACTTTGTCAAATGATGATGTAGCTGTGTTCTTCTTATTGTAATCGAACCCTATGGAGCATCAAAATGATTTTTAATTATTAAACATGTCCGAAAATGCTTTAATTCCGAATTATAGGTATTAGGGAATTTTAGGCAATAGTAATTCTAAATATTTCTTTAAGTTGAAATTAAAATGAAATTCGAGAGACGCTTAAATGGTGGTTCCCACATTATCGAGACTGAGGCCCACGATGGTAAACTCGTAGCGTAAAAAAAACAAGAAATGAAAGACGAAAGCCGATAGTAGTATTAGGACGTTGAATTTTTTGGTTTGTGAAGCATTGGCATTACTTAGGTTAAACTATGTGATGATTTTCACAAGCCTTGATTTTTAAAACCATTCTATATCGCCTTTTGATTGTCGAATAATAATTGGCCCCTTTACCTCTTAAGCCTGCTCATGTAAAGTAGTTTGGCTCCTTACTTCGCCTATTTATGTAATACTGTTACGCAGCACCCTGCAACGCGCTGCGGTCGTGATACGTAAATGAAGACGATAGAATAGTCCAGAAATGTCTCGAAATGTCATTCCACGTCAAGGAATACTCTAGACAGTTCGAGAATGTTCGAGAAGATTAAAGCAAGCTATATATGCAAAGTTGAAATAAATTGTGATACTAAGAACCTGCATAACAATACTAATAAAGGACAGAAGGATGAGTATTGCAACTATGTTAAAAGAAATATTATGGCTTTCAGTTCAGAATTATGTTCAGTACATGACTGATATTTATTTATAAAATAAAAATGACATAGTACCATAGCACCAACTATAATACAAGAAGCCAACCTGACTTTCATGTACGGCAAGCCATCACTAAAAGTTGCCAAAATAAAATTTTTATTATTAAAGGTTTGCAAAAATTTAATAGACTGTTTACAGAAATTAAAAAATAAACAACAATAAAAGTATTCAAAAGTAACCTCAAACAATACTTGATAAATAAACAACAGATATACTTTCTTGTGATAATACTCTTTAAACCTGCCCTTTTCAAGTATTTCCCTTAATTTATTGTTATTTTACCCCTCGTTTTACCCGTATTTATTATAAATTATTTCTGTTTTGAGATCATATACTTTATTTTTAAAAATTACTTGATGTTATATTAATACTACCTAATATGTTTAAATTATTTATAGTTTTGTGACTATAGGTTATAGTAACTTATAGCCACAAAACTATTTTGGTGTTAAAGTAGATCCATAGAGAGCAATATAATTTACAAAGGCCTTCTTTCAACATACAAATAAATGACAACTTTATAATTGAAATGAAAAACACTACAAAATACCTCGGTATCATAATTGATCAAAAAATTTGTAATGGGTTGATCACATTACGTCATTACCAACCAAAGTTAGAAGATTCATTTTTAAAATTTATGAATTGAGGAAATTTATGACTAGGAGTTTACTAATTATTATTTACAATTCGCTGGTTGAATCTATTTTGCGATATGGTATAATGTCAACTCATTAATGTAATCCAAAATCGTATAATTAAAATTATCTACGAAAAACCAGCATTATATAAAAAAATGTATAATAAAAAAGTGCTTTGTATAAGAACATTATATTATCTGTCTTGCTGTACCTTTATTTATGGAAATCCTGAATTGAGATACACTACAAATTATTTGTAATAAATATCAAAAGAAGCATACAAACATTTTTAAATAATTTGACATTTAAGAGCCATTCACACATCACAGTTGACATCTTCATACTTGACAGGCACGGCCAAGCATTATTTTGATTTTTGCCAAATAAAATGGCGAGTTAATTATTCTATTGGGTTGCAACAGAGAGCCAGTAAATTTGATAAAGGTGTTTTTGTGGCTAGGGGCGAAATAGTAGTAAGCTTAAGTTAGCACCACCATAAAAAAGTAATTTTTAAGAAACTGCTTATATATTTTTCACAAATTGGCAGGCTTGACGACTAATTTCGAATAAAAATAGCCTCCAAAATGGCTATGGTTGCAATTATGAAGGTCGCAACCCGCCTTAGAAATCTTACCTTTACAATCAACAGCTGTTGTTTGACAGGTCGTTGGAGGATGCAATGTATGGAATGTTAAGAATGTTTGGAATGTCAAGACGTTAGGAATAATTGAAATTCCTTAAAATTGGTCAGATAAGAAATACATAGGCGAAATCTAAGAAAATTGATATTAAAGTAGTTAGGATGAACCGAAAATTCTGAAAATCAATAGGGTTCTCAGTTAGAAGTAATTATTCAAGAAAATCAAAACCGCAAGTCAATCAGAACTTTCGTTCTAGAGTTATTGTGCTGGCATACATACACACAGACGACCAGACGAATTTTTTTTTGTCTGCACGAATGCAATACTGAGGCCCCATAGGAAGGGCCCCCATAGGAAGGACCTCAGTAAGTGAGATATTCGTTTCAATTAAATGAAAACTATTTATGTAGAGAAAAATGTAGAGAAACAAGTATTACAAATTAAAAATTTAAAAAAACCGACTTCAAAAACGTGCAGATGCCACATCTTAACCAAATTTATATGGGACCACCCCTGAGGTACCCTCTTACTAACAAAAAAAGAATCGTATAAATCGGACAAGGTGGTAAAGCATTATCGCTAAACATACATAAAAAATTAAGAGTTTGAGGATTTTCTCATGGATCCAATTATTAGATTTTGACAAAATTTATATGGGACCACCCCTACAGTAGCCCCTTTCTAACAAAAAAGAATTATTGTAATCGGACACCGTGTTAAAAAATTATCGCTGAACATACATAAAAAATGAAGAGTTTGAGGATTTTCTCATGGACCCAATTATTAGATTTTGACCAAATTTATATGGGACCACCCCTGAAATACCCCCTTTCTAACAAAAAAAGAATCATTGAAATCGGACACCGTGTTAAAGAATAATCGCTGAACATACATAAAAAAAAAAAAAAAATATCGCGACGAATTGATAACCTCCTCCTTTTTTTGAAGTCGGTTAAAAATCAATAATAAAGCTCATTCCTAACAAATTTAGAGCATCATACTGTTGTACTTTAGTAAGCATAAGTCCGTTTCACTGAGACGAAGTCTTGCGTCTTATACACCACCCTGTACACGGTGTGTTGGTCTTTTTAAATATGTCAAACGTCAGATATTTTGACATAACATTTGGAAAAGATCCGATATACCTTTTCCATAAAAATTAACGAAGTCCTAAGAATCCGAGCAATTGATATGACTGATTACTATAAAGTATTAAAAGTGCCAAGAAATGCTTCGACTGAAGAAATAAAAAAGGCATATAGACAGCTAGCTTTAAAATGGCATCCAGATAAGAATCCCAACAATAAGGAAGAGGCTACCAAAAGGTTACTTTATATTCCTTTAGTTACAGAGTATTTGAGGTGCTATATTTAGAATATCCCAACAAAATATTAATTGAGAATTAAAACAGTATGTTTAATTTCTAAAATTATCCTAAGACTCATTTTAATAGTTTTACTCTAATTTTCTCAATCCAATGACACTTTCAACTCTAATTCACATTTGATTTGAAGTTTAACATTGTTGTTCCATTCAATTAAAAATAGAATATACCTCTAAAATTCTACCACCTTCCGATAAACCTATAGGGGCGTTTAAAATGAATCTAAATATGAGTCCGTCGCAGATGCAAGAAAAAACTATTTATTTTAAAAATGGAGAAATAAATAGTGTAAAAAAAGTGGAAAATCACCTCTGTGTTACAGTGATATACAGTTGTTGAGTTATTAAAAATGATCTTTAAAACTAAAAAGTATAGTTTATGTAAGCAAATTTATAGGCAGCCAAGTGAGCTTATTTAGGATATTATTTTTGCTATATTAACATCAAACTTATTGCCAGTAACCCCAGAAACTAGATAGTGTTTATTATAAATATATAGATCATAAAATTGTTACATTTTAAATGAATTTTCCTAAAAGTTGTAATGTTACATGTAGGTTCACTTGACGGATTAACATACAATAACCCTATAGTTTAATTACCAAGTAGTTACTTTAAACTTTACTCAGAGGTGCTATAAGAGGTGCTAGAAGACTAGCCCTAAAATTGTTTGTACGCAAGCTTTTTTAATTTAAATTTGGGACCCCGCACAAAAAGATAGGAAATGCATTCTCGGTCAAATTGTCCGAATTTTTGATATGTTATACATTTTGTCATCCTGAACAAAAGTCTCAATGGGCACTAAGCTCCAAAGTCCATGGTTTGGCTCCTATGGAGCTCCGAAGCTCCGTGACTCCACCATAGTATAGAAACCTCTAAAACGCATGTCACCTTTTTAAAAATCATATTTTAATTATTTTAATGTATGCCCTTAAGTTTTTGAGAATGCTGAATTTGAATATGATGTCAAATCGATAATATTGACAGTTGACAGCTGTCAAATAGCTGTCAAATGCTTCAAAGAAAAACAAATCTTATATTAAAAAATGTTATCATATGTTTTTGAGGACGCTGAATTCAAATAAGATGTCAAATCGATAATATTGACAGTTAACAGCTGTCAAATAGCTGTCAAACGCTTTAAAGAAAAACAAATCTTATATTAAAGAATGTTATCATATGTTTTTGAGGACGCTGAATTCAAATAAGATGTCAAATCGATAATTTTGACAGTTGAGAGCTGTCAAATAGCTGTCAAATGCTAAAAAAAAGAAATCTCATATTAAAGGATGTTATATGTTTTTGAGGACGTTGAATTTAAATAAGATGTCAAATCAATAATGACAGTTGACAGCTGTCAAATAGCTGTCAAACGCTTCAAAGAAAAACAAATCTTATATTAAAGAATGTTATCATATGTTTTTGAGGACGCTGAATTCAAATAAGATGTCAAATCGATAATATTGACAGTTGACAGCTGTCAAATAGCTGTCAAATGCTTAAAAAAAAAGTAATATCATATTATAGGATGTTATCATATGTTTTTGAGGACGCTGAATTCAAATAAGATGTCAAATCGATAATATAAGATAAATATAAGATTTCTCTTGTTTTAAAGCACTTGACAGCTGTCAATTGCCAATATTATGGATTTGACATCATATTTCAATTCAGCATCCTCAAAAACTTAAGGGCATACATTAAAATAATTAAAATATGATTTTCAATAAGGTGACCTGCGTTTTAGAGGTTTCTATACTATGATGGAGTCACGGAGCTTCGGAGCTCCATAGGAGCCAAACCATGAACTTTGGAGCTTAGTGCCCATTGAGACTTTTGTTCAGGAAGATAAAATGTATAACATATCAAAAATTCAGACAATTTGACCGAGAGTGGATTTCCTATCTTTTTGTGCGGGCTCCTTTGTTATGGTGTAAAAAATTACAATGTACCTACCAGTTTACGTACATATTTTAGAACGTGAAGGAAGGATTAATTTAATGATACTTCCTTATCACAGATAATTAGAATTTTATGTGTTAATTTATTTCAATTCTGTGGTGGGTAGGATATAACCTCGGCTTTTTCGATCGTCTTGGTACTTAAGTAGTTTGGTTTAAAAAATTTCTCGATGGTTTTTTGAAGCATAAACCACAAATGGGTTATAAACTGTTAACGAGAACTTTAATTATATATTATGTCTTAGTAATTAATGATAGCATGATGATATTTTCTAATTTTAAATTCAATATTTAAAGTGCCAGTGAAAAGTAATAAATGCATAAAATCTTCACGAAAGTAATTATTGGAATATATCTCCGGCACGTCAATTTTCATTTTTAATTAGACATCGTTATCATAATTAAGTTACTAATGGCATAGTTATTACAAAAAAATATCTAGTGTATAGTAGCTTATTTTCCGGAGAATCATGAACACTCAATAACAAAATGAAGTAAATGATGATATTAAGTAAAGGTACAGGAAATTATGACATAACGATAAAGTTTAAAGAATGTTAAAGGTGACAGCTTACGAATAACTCAGAAGCATGATAATATACAAGAGATGAAAATAATGATAAATAGTATATACATAAAAAAACAATTTATATTATACAATAAATAAAATAGCCATCATACAAAACTGAAATTAAATATATAGGGTGCCGCGAAGTTGATCAAACAAAAAAAAAAGGGAATTAATCGACATCAACTTATTTATTTGAATAACGACCATTCAGACAGATAATTGTAATCAGGCGCGTGCGGTCCATGGAAGCGGGGGAACCACTGCTTCTCTTTAATTTGAGATCTAAAAATGAATATTTTTCAGTTTACAATGCATAGAAATTAATATTAAATTAGGTACTATATTTTCTCTAAAACATTACGTAAACTTCGTAAATGTACTAACAATTCATGGGTGTAATGCGTAAACGCACGCACCACTCATAAGAAAATTAATTGTTTAAACGCACACACCATAAAGGTACTTCAAGTCCGTCGGCGGAAGCGGGTCTTGCAAAATCCGGCTGATCTTCCAATTGATATCGCTTCGTGTTATTGACCCTGCTTTGCGGCGACGGTAGTCAATCTGTTTGGACTCGTGAAATACGGTCGAGAGGCAGCGATTTTTACGTCGCCTTACGCATATTGCAATTCGCACCGCGAATCGACGTGTGAGGGAAATCGTAGACTTCAGATAGATTTCGGTTTGTTTTTCGTAGTTGTTTTTCTTTTTGTAAAATGGAGGTACTATGCACTGTGCCTGTGAACAATAATATTGTGGTAAATTGTGTCTGTATTGTGAGCTCTTTATTGAAAAAAGGATTTTCAAGTAGAAATTTTAAAGAGAAAACGGACCTTATTAATTCTAGTAGATTAAAGGATCCTATCAATTTAGAGACGAAAGTAGAAAATCAGCAAAGAAATTTACCAGGCATTTTCACGTAGGGTTCTATGAAAAGTATGAATGGTTAACCAGCCGCAGAACTTTGAAGAAATTGTTTTGCTGGTCTTGCCTACTTTTTTAATATAGCCGAAAAAACACATTGGAACTCAGTCGGTATTACAGACTTGAATAATTTTCACAAAAGTGTAAAACGACATGTAAATAGCAAATCCTATATAAGTGCTACAATTAAAGAAAAAACATTCGGGACCTATCGCATTGAACATAGTTTGGACAATCATTTAAAAATAAGCAACAAAATTCGCAATGAAAGGGTAAAAAAAATAGGGACGTCTTACAACGAATAATAGATGTAACTTGTTTCCTGGGAGAGCATGAACTAAGTTTTAGTGGTCACAATGAAGTAAGTGGATCCGTCAATCGAGGAAATTACATGGACCTTATAAGTTTTTTAGTAAAATACGATGATACCCTAAAAAATCATTTTATTGATTCGACGACTTTCCGAGGTACCTCAAACATTCGTATCAATTGCGCTTGATGAAACCACAGATGTAGCAAACTTAAGTCAATTATCCATTGTTATGCGATATGTATTGGATGGCATTTCTCAAGAGCGATTCTTAGGATTTTTGGACGTCACTAGCGAACGAACTGTAGATGCAATGTTTAAAATTGTTTGTGACATTATTTCAAATTTAGAATGTGGTTCTAAAATTGTTGCCCAGAGCTACGATGGTGCTGCCGTAATGGCTGGCCATTTAGGAGGTCTTCAAGCTAAAGTGAAAGAAAAGTTTAAACATGCAATTTTCGTTCACTGTATAGCACATAGACTTAATTTGGTTTTATCGCGAAGCATGGATAATATTAAAGATTGTAAAGTTTTCTTTTCGACGCTTAGTGGTTTGACTTCCTTCTTTTCAAAGTCATCGAAAAGAACTCGCGCTTTGGACATTCACGTTAAAAAAGGTTTCCAAAAGTTGCTCCGACACGATGGAACTACAATGGACGTTTAGTTCAAACAATGTTTCAATACCATGATTCTTTGATACACTTTTTCAAGACGTTTGGGATAATGAAGAAACATGGGAACTGTTACTGCCGCTAAAGGGTATTTGCATTGGCTCAAACAAAACTTTGATTTCAATTTTTGGTCAACATTTTTGCATAGATTTTCCCTTTTACTGACATTTTATTCGAAATTTTACAGACAAAGTCAAATGACATAGTCTTTTGCATTAAACAAATTGATGATTTTAAAAATAAAATGAATAAAAAACGAGATCAGTTTGAACACTTTTGGAATAAGACTCAAAACATTGGCTTAGAACCTGAATGAAAGAGAATTAGAATTGATAATGTCGGCGAAAGAGAGACCTCCTATCGTCGATTATACGCCGAAATTTTTAATAATATTTTACAACAAATGAATTCTCGATTTCAAAACTTTAGCGAATTAAAATTTGTTGAATTGTACATTTTTAATATTAGTAACAACGATTCATCAAAATTTCCATCAGAAGCTTCTAATTCACTAAAATTAAATTATGGAAATTTTTTCGATATTCCAGCAATAAAGTCCCAGTTAAGTGTTGTTTATGAAACAACTGAAATTAGTGATAAAAAGACACCCATCAATGTGTTAAATTTTCTTATAACAACTGGTTTAAATAAGTCTCTTTGTGAAGTCGTCAAATTGTGTGAATTAGTACTAACCATCCCAGCCACAAGTGCGTCAGTTGAGCGAAGTTTTTCAGCTTTAAAGCGCATTAAAAGTTTTATACGAAATTCAACAAGTGAAGACAGACTCTCTAATTTAGCCTTAATATCCATTGTAAAACAGCTTGTTAAACAGTTATCAGAAAATCAAAAATTTTACGAAGATATTATATACAAATTTGCAGCCATTGAGGATAGATAGATCTTAAGTATAAATAAATGTCAACTGCTGTGTCAACTGTGCGAAAAATGCTGGAAAAAATAAAAATACTTCAGTTAAATGTTTTTTTTTACCTTTAAATAAACCAAGGAAGCTTTTCAATGGTAAGTTTTTTTATAGCTTCTAGTACTAAACTAGGTAATAAAGTAATAGTAATACTTCAAAAATCTCAATCTCGAATATCCGTAGTACTGAGGAAAAAAGCAAGATTTTGACAAAATGGTGAATGTGCCGCGAAAATTTTTTCGTCTGCGGCGCTGTGCTTACTGGCCTGCTGTATTTTTATACAATCGCTTCCCCTTCCAAAAATGTCACCGCACGCCACTGATTGTAATGCATGTTGAGAGCTGAGTACATCAATGCAAGAACATATAAGTCATTATTTTGAAAGATTTTAAAGCAGTCGTCTAATACAATTTTTGGATATTGATGTATATTTAATTTTAATTATTTGAAATTAGTGATTAGGTACATTTTAAAACCTAAACGTACATTTCTTTTTTTATTAATTGTGTAATTATTAACGACAAAAATATTTAATATAAATAGTTTAAAACTACCCAATTACGCCAGATAAAAATAATAGAAAAACTTTACCAGTAACAAAAAAAAACAATTGCTCAAAATTGAAGAGTCTAATTGAATACCGCCGAGTTGGATATGGTAAAGATCCGAGTTGTATGCCATGCATTTATTCTAAATATTTCAAAATTTAGACAAATATCAGACATTGTTGCTCCTTTTTAGGTACTTCAAATAATATTTTAATTAGTATCTCTTTTCTTTCAAACAGACTGGGAATTGTTGTATTGAAAGTAGAATTATTATATTAAGGGCATTATCCAAATATTGTAATCTAGAAAGTTCAATATAATCATAAAATCAACAAGCTCATTAATCAAGAATGCTTAGTACAAGTGTCCAATTTATAATATGTCGATGGCACATTTTGATACTGTCCTAATACTTTTTACAATTATTTACCATTCATGGTTAAAAAAAAGGGACATAACTTTCCATTATAATAGTATTTTATCTACTTCTAGATAAAAGTTTCACTACAGATAAGGAGGAAAGGAGGAATACTTTAAGCTTAATATTGGTCTTTTGCGATCATTACTGAAGATTTTAACGCTGCAATTTATAAAGGAATTAAATTAGCTCTTCGTAAATTTAAAAATAAAGGTTGTCATTTTCGTTTGCGTCAATTATAGAAAAATTCAGGAGTTGGAACTATCATCATAAATGGCGTGGAAAACAATTTCCTAAATTAGTTTGTATGCTATCATTTTAACAACAGAACGATAAATGTAATTGTTTCGCTATTGATTTTCCATTATTAACGAGTTTAAATTAAATTATTTTCTGAATTATCTTTTTTGCCACTTTATGCTTACTTTACTTTACTTTTTTGTTAGCATTGGCATATGGATAACTCCATTTGCCACAGAATATTTAATATTGATATTCTTCATGCTGTGGTTTTCTACACAAGATAGAAGTGACAATGTTCTTTAGTGTTTAAAATTAGTTTAAGTGTTTATATAGTCAGGGTACTTTTTAATGGTAAAATAAAATATTAAAAAAAATTATGTATAAGTTTTGACTCACCCAATACACATTTGTTCCGAACTGAAAAAAATTAGTACGTCCACGTAAAATTTAACAAAAAAATTGGTTGCCATTTGAGGGGAATTAAAATACAAAATAAAATACAGAGTAATTCTTTTAAACAAACATAAGTTTGTTCAGGACTGAAGTTACAGGTATTCGAAAATAATTTTTAAATATTGCTGCCTAATTTTCTTATATATTTTTAAAATAGTGCCGCAAATACATATTAGACTTTTTTTGCACTAATAGAGAGATATTGCAAATTTCTATAACGCCAGTCACTAATAGAGGCAAATAAATTCCATACTAAAATCAAACTTATTTCAAACCTGTAGTTAGGACATTATAATCTTTGTCCTTATACTTATTGTTAACCTCATTTAAAAACTTTAAACTATAATTCATCTTTGTTGTTGTCTATAATAGTACATAATATGAACGAAGCTTTTTAAGTCATTAAGATGGTAATAATAAAAAATATATAATATTAGAAAACTGAACTGATACGAATATTTGCGAGCACACCCGAAAGCTATAAAGTCACAACTATTTGCTGCCGTTAAACATCCACACTATCTTTATTAAAGTCAGTTCTAAAACTTAAACGATCTGCGCATGTTTAGATGTCAAAATAAGGACGCCGCTAATAATGACTGACCTTAAGGGTGTGGTCTGTTATTAACTGACTACTAACCGCTAGTAACCAGGATTTTTTGACAGCGGTTCCTGAAAAAAACTCATTTATTGGTTACTTTTGGACCACGGCCGAGTGACAGATTGACATTCGACTTAATAGTAACCGTAAAAATATAGCGGTTAGTGAATTGACGTTTGAATCACCATTTTCAGGTAACCGCGTCCCTAATTTAACCGATTTTTCAGGAATGTCAAGCAGAGTTTTGGACCGAGTAACCGATATTTCGGTTAATAACGGACCATACCCTAAGTGAACTTGCAATATCTCTCTAACTTATAAGTGAAGCTTTACCATTTTTTCTTTTATTTTAACAGTACATGTTGCATGTTTTTCAGATTTAGAGAAATTTCAGAAGCTTACGAAGTGTTGTCTGACAGTAAGAAGAGAAAGAGCTACGATAGATATGGAACAACAAAACCGATGGGTCATTCAAGATCTGGACATGAAGAATTTTTCGATTTGGGAGGTGCTTTCCACTTTAGTTTTAGGTAAAATATTTTTATTTAAAAAAAGAAATACTAATTTTTCATAAGTAGCTCAAAAGAAAAAGTTACTAAAGTTAGTTATTTTATAAATGGAAACGATTTTTATGAACATTTTGTTCATCAAGCTTTCAATAAATTTACATAAATAGATATATCCAAAAGTATTGTTTGCAGGCAAAATGACATCGTTTTCAACATTGGTTAAGGGTTTGATTATACATGTCAGACCTTTTAGGCCTACCAGTCTAATAATTTTTCATCTTATGTCTCTTATAGTGGTCAATTCGCACTATACGGAACATCAGAATCATGTAACGAAACAGTACAGTCACGTCAAAATATTATTAAATTTGTTTCTGATGGTAACATTCACATGCATAGGTAACATCATATACCGCCACCACCATCACAGACCGTCAAGATTTATCAAAAATATTAGTTTGACGTGACGGTCCGTGCAGCTGCCTGTTCATTCGGTCAATGTGAACGTGTCAAACAGAACGGCAAAGTAAACAAGTGTTCATTATAATTTTTATTGATAAACAAAATTTGAATTTTGAATTGATTTTTATTATGATACGTGACGAAAAACTGATAAAACAAGTGCGTCCATATATCTTACTTCAAACAAACCCAGTGTACCTATCCTTTGCACTAATTGCTTCACGAAAAGGGGTTATTCTTTTGAATTTTATCTTCAATTCTACTAAAATTTAACAAATTGATTTTAAGACATTCTTAGATATTTAAAAAAACATACTTCATCATCCTCTAATTATTTGAACAGTCTCTTCTTCTCGTTTTCTTCTATTAAATATCTTGGGCACCCATTTTTTTCAACTTTGCCACCAACCCATAAAAAATTGCAATCACTTTAAAATTCAAATTTGAGATAACCCAGATTTTACGGTTTGAGGTCCTAGGAATCCAAAACATGTTTTGAAGATATGTATTTGCACATATTATTATGTGGGTGAGGTTTTTTGCACGATACACCCCAAACAATGTGCCCGATTTTGATGAGATTTGTAAAATAGGGTTTTCATGGACTCCTGAAGTGATGATTAGATTTTGGACATAGTCGAGCCAACTGGAGAAGTACTTTATATAGGGTCGTTTTTTGTACTTTTTGGTATATTTGTTACTTATGATTTGAGAAGAAAATTCTTTGGATAAAAGTTATGAAAAAAGTTTTTGTGATGTTATTTTCTATGATTTTTGTTATATACATAATGTCCTTAAAATGGACTGGACCGTATTTAATATTTGTTATGAATATTTAATGAAAAATACTAATACATTTTTTTTTTGTTTTGACCAGGATCTAACTTAAGTGAAAAGTCATGTGTTGGGACACATCAGATGATATAAATGTGAAAACAATAAAAAATTTAATTTTAAACTAATGCTTTATGAAGCGGAAGTTTTTTCAGATTGTTTATTCATTTCTTCCTCATCCAAAATTATTACAATCATTACTTATGTTCTTTTCTTAAATTTCTGTTTTGTGCAAAGCGCGATGGTGACGTCATGTTGACGTTCCGTGACGTGTAAATAGACAGCAAAATTGATGTGATGTGACGTTACCATACCGTTACGTGACGTTGACGTATCCTATAGTGCGAATTAATGTTAATAGGATAAATTACTTCAAAATATATTTTTCTGTTAACGTCAGATTAGCCACTAAATAATAAATTTATCATATTGGCAACACTTTTGACAAAATATAAATTAACCTGCTTTTGTCAAATTTTGTGTTAATATCAATTTAAATTAGATTTTAATTTTAATTAAATTATCAAAATGTATCAATATCCATATCAATATTCTATGCAATGTTATCCTGAATCTCATCAATATCTAAATGAACATTCAATAGAATGTAATCACTGTCCCAATTCATATCCTGTTCAATGTAATCCAAATCCCTGTGTCCCAAATCATAATTATCCTTGTACAGCAGATTGTGAACACCTATGTTCCAGACACCGGTTAGTAAGTAAATGCCTCTACTCTAAGAGCTTCTTTTGTTCACTATTAAAGCGAAATACGAGTTCTTTTAATATGTATGTAGGGTATGCTTTGAGTTGAATTTTAACAAAAGAGTCTTTTGTCTAGGGTACCTCACCAAATGTTTATTTTAAAAGTTTACTGAGTACAAAATTGTTCAACGTTTATAATCGCAACGACCTACAGTACGTTTTCCACAGCATCCACCATAAACTAAAATGAGTGTCCACTAATTCATTATTAACGAGTTGTAACGAGTTCTAAACGCTTTTAACAAAGACATTAATTAATTTTAATCAAATCATAGCCCTCAGCAACCGGATGTGATTGGTGAGCTAAAGATTCACTTGGTTAAGTGCGTACTTGAACATAAATCGATGTTCTGGTATATCAAATTCGTACTGTACATTAGCGAATTATTTACTATCCATCTCTAAATTCAATCATCAAATGGTTTCATACAAGTAATGTTCAATTTTAAAAAAGTCAAAATGCAAACTTCCAAAATCTTACCTCAATCACTTAGATATTAAAAAAGGTTAACGCACAATAACACAATAATGATAATAAAAATTATTTATTTTCCCCATACACCAATAAGTTTTTTAAATGGCATAATTTTATAATAATTAGTATACATTTAATTTTAGAGATCCGGAAGAAGTATTCAGAGAATTTTTTGGAAACAGCATATTTGATTTTTTGAGCGAAGACTTTTCGATGGACCGCAGAGAAGACAGAGATAGGTAAATACCACAAATCATAAACTATCGTTATGGTTGTTAACTTTTAATTAAAAACTGTTGGTAAACGTTTTATTTTACTATAAAAGCACGATTCAATTTATCAGCAATGCGTTTTTTTATATTAACGATTATGGATGACTTTTATACTTTAGATGCAGTAGGAGTGGTGGCCGGAGAGGTCACCGCGGTCATGAAGTTTCCATTTTCGGGCCCTTAGGGGGTGGCGGTGGAGGACTCTTCGAAGGCTTCTTCTCAACACCAAGCGCCACCTTACAAAGCTCCTTCGGTGTACAGTAAGAAATAATATTATTCCTACTCTTATATATTTTATAATTTTCCATATACAGGGGTGCCCACAATATCCTGAAATAGAGGTACTGATTTTTTTTTTAAATTTTATTAGCAATTATTTTTATAATCAATTTTTCAAGGATTTTCGTTCTGAAATTCCTAATTTTTCTTCTTTTACATCCATTTTTTCTTTGCCTCTCTCGTTATTTTCTTTTCTTCCCCCTGGTTGATCTTTTGTAAATAATCACTGAACTACTTTAAAACTGGTTGATGAGCTAAGATGAAGACTATTTCGCATATAAAGTATGATAATAGGACCATAAAAGTGTATAAACGTGCAGATACATTAAGTTTGACGGCAAAACATGTTTTTGAAAGTTTAAAATCAACAAGAACAAATAAAGCGTTATTTTAAAAAGTTATCACTTAAAATAAGTTATAGACAATAACTATAACTCTCAGCATTTTTTCTAATTAAACCCCAGACGAGTTAAAAACTCTCACAATGATATTTGTCAAGAAAAGTGATAATTATAACAATTATATTGCACATGTTATTACAAGTATCGATGCTGGGACATTATAAAATGTTAATTCACCACTTTCTCGGAATAAACCAATGTATAATTTAGCTAAGCTATCTAGTTGTTATTTCAAGAGACACTGTCACCAATGCACAACTTATTCCCGATGTTCACACTCTGAAGAAACGATATCCTAAAATCGACTTTTTTGCGATAGTTAACCAAATTGGTTCTATGTTCACGAACATTGAAGTGTCGATTTAATTTTTAGATGAATTTGGTAAAAACGACATTTTTCTGTCAAACCCAAATCAAAATAAAGAGAATTTTATTGTTTTAGTAAATTGTACCCGCTGAATTTGTATTAGCATGTAGGAAATTTTAAATGCCCTCCAATATTCTTCTCATAGGCTCAGACTGCATCAAGAAATGTAAAGCTATTAAAACCCGATGTTCAGGTTCAATAGCCTAACTCGTTTTAAACGTGCGTTAGTCTAAATTCTAAATAATCATCATCTAGTAGGCTTTAATTTTTTGTTATTCCTCTAAACCATTGAGATAGAATGTCAAACTCGAGATAGTGGAGTTGTCAGTTTTGAAATAAATACCATATTTTTTAAATAGCTTCATTTAAATATTTTAAAATCATGTTTATTCCGTCAGTCTTTATATATAAAATTATTCACTTCAAATAAATCAAAGTACGACTCAGGTCGTCATTTTCATTACATTTTTCCGTCACTCGAAATGCGTCCGTCTTTCATATCGCAAAATAGTGTTTATTCGGTCTCTACTTTATTCTATATCGATACTCTAAACCAGCCATACTCAAACTGCGGGACGCATGTGGCCAAGCTTTTTTTGCGGCCCGAAACAATATTAGTAATAAAGTGCTTTTTAAAACAATAGGTTTCTGTTTTTAAAAATCTTGAGCGAAATGCATGAAAACATTTATCGGTCGCTGCGCTAAATATCACGCTAATTTTTAAATAAACGTTTGGATCATGGGGTTACTCCACTTTCGGCATTTTCAAGTTAAATACACTTTCGTCTCCAAAATAGCTCAAATAATATACGGAATAAACAAGACAAGTATAAACGAAGTCTATATTAATGATGAACGGATGGTCAATAAAAACTAACTCCATATTAATGCATTCACAATATGCACACACAAGATGAGTGACATTTATACCGAAAAATAATCATAACATTGTGTTCAGTTGCTAATAGTGAGTCTACTAAAACCAGATAAGAGACATATAACTTATTTTTGCTAAATGTATTAAGTCCTATTCCTAAAAGTGTTTCTGCCAAAACAAGAAAAAGGCCAGAACACTTATTTTTGTTGAAATTCTTCAACATTTTTCCAAGCCATTTGTTTTATTTTGCCTAGAACTGTCTCTCACCCTTCTCGATTGGTCGGAAATCGACAAGGTGATTACGTCACCCTTTTATCTATGATACAGCTAATCTTCAAAAACCAATAGATGATAACACGTGATGCCCAAATCGCCGTGATGAATGATTAATTGGTGAAGCTTTAACGAGTGGGGATGCTAACGTTCGTTAAAAAGACCAAAAGTACTTCTTAATTCACCAACACAACACCAAAACAACACCAAAACAACACCAAAACAACACCAAAACAACACCAAAACAACACCAAAACAACACCAAAACAATACCAAAACAACACCAAAACAACACCAAAACACCAGCTTTTTGCATTGCTTAAAAAACCCAAGCTACACCGGCAGAGGGATTCCTGAAAGAGTGAACACTTTAAACAGCTCTGAAAATACAAAAAAATGCAATTGTAATGCCAAGAAGAAAGACTTATTAAAACTTTGCAAACCAGGTGCTACACCTGATGAATTTCACCATTATTATCACAATCTACCTGTATCCAATAATGTTAAAGACACGGTACCTGAACCTTTCATTGAAGATAGACGTTGAATGTATGTGAATGTATGTAGACAGCTAAAATAAGCTAAGTGACGTTTTCTTCTTTTTTATTCTCTTTTTTTTTTGTTACCAATCGATAGATTCATAGTTTATACGTTGTGAAGACTAATTAGTTTTAAATACCTTTTTTTCATTGGAGTTATTGTTTATTCAACAATTTAAAGCGTTTGCTGATTTTTTTATTTAATTTTATACCTTTGAACAGCATTTACTCGAAACTCTAAAAATGTGAGTTATCTTGTTTTTGCAGTAACCTGATGGGATATATTTTTGGTTCGTGTTTATTAAAGGTTCCCACTAACTATTTTAAATGGATGGCCTAAATAAAGGGTAATCATTCAAAAGAAATCGTTTTAAAGCTATTGAACTATGTAAACATAGTTCCAAAAGAGACATTGGTAAGATGAGAACGCTACCAAATATGAACTTAGTTTTACATGTGGTATTTCATATCTACATGTTGAACGGTTGCCAAAGAACAGGTAAATAGAGAAAACCATAAGCTCTTGTCAGACCAGAGATAACAGGGTCAGACCCCGGTGAGTGACATTTTACAGGTGTTTCAACTCTTTTTAAAATATGGCCCCAAAAACAGCATAGTATGTAAAAAAACCACCAGATGTCGATAGAAGGTGAAGTACCACAAATGAAAATAAATAATTACTGCGAACTGTCAGAAAAATGCAGTTAATTTTGTCTTTATCGAGTAAAAATACGTCTGTAGCCAATTTTTTTTTAAATAATGGTAAATTGTTAATATCTACTAATCATACTCTACGTAACAAACGAAATAGAATGTGAAAACGAGAAGAAAATACTATACCACATACTTAAATAATAACCACCCATATATTTCTTCAAAACAAAGTGAGAACATTACTATTTTTCGTCATTTTTAGTGTACAAAACAATAATGAAATAAGGAAAATAGTGTATATTCTTTCCTAAAAATTGTAAATATTGTTAAAATGGATTTTGAAAAAATAAGTGTTAAGTGTTATTTTGATGTTATTGTAACTTGACAAACCGGACCCTGACCTAGTTTTGCAAATACTTATAACCTTGGCCTAAATTTCGTCTAGTAGATCCCCACGAAGTGATGTTAAAACCCCCAGAATTTCTTTTAGAGTTCAATGTAGCTGTAATGGAGGAAGAACAAAGGAAACACCGAGATTAATTTTAAATACTGTTTATTTAACATCTATTCTTTTGTACAGCCGAACATTTAGATTATGTGCCATTTTTAGGCTTAACATTCTGTTTATGTAGGCTTTCTAATGTGTCATTTCTAACCTCAGAGCTTTTAGTTCCCATAAAAGGGTAAAATAAAAGTCAGAAGTACTTTGGTATGTTTGTTTGTCTCCTAATATACAATCACACGTTTCCACGGAACTAGTGAATTACGCATTGTCTAATAAAAGAGAGTACAACGGTAGCACGAGGAGTGTTGTGAGATATAAAATATTGCGTCGAATTGAGAACCTCTTCCTTTTTGAAGTCGGTTAAATTCATTATTTCTAATATGTGTAAAAACCGGAGTGTAGATTTACCTCACCGTGCGTCACGCCTTTCTCTAATATTCCAACGCCGTAATTTACCGACATACTCAGTCCTGTACGGACAACACTAAACGGTCGATCGGAGAACACCTGATATAAAGGGGGATGCCCGTCAGGCCCACTTTTGGGGTATCTCAGTAGAGATCCATCCAAGCCTCTATCAGGCTTTAATTTACATAGCCGCAAGGGAAATACCATTTTTAGGCCCTTACTATTGAGGTCCCTGGCGGTCTATGGTGGCCTAAGGCGTCTTTTTTGGCACGATGCTCTTTTGCTCTGTCGATTGACAAATCAGTGTTATAAATCACAGTTCTGAGGATACGTTAGCTAGTCCACAAACACAATTTCACCTATTTATTCTAAATAAATAACAAACATACCGACTACCTCCGCGTAATGTCCCGCTAAAGATACGTGGATATGTATAAATAAATACGACCCTCCTCAATATTCATGATTCTACCCGCCGCTGTACATATCTCCTTTTTCCCGGAAATTCGATACACAAAACTAAAATTCCGTACGGCTAAAATGACACATTTGTCTACCCAATTTTGTTTTACAAAGAACGACAGAAAACATATTTTTTAAACCGCAAACTAACTGTAAAATATATACAAATCAAGGCGTTTACCCTAGTAATCTACATCTGTTTGCCATTTAAAAGTAAAACTGAAAGTGCTTTTTATCTTTACTGAAAGGGACAGGTACTGTTTATAGACAACCGTAACTTTACAATTCGGCCCTTTGGCCATAAATCTAAATGACTTAATTTATTGCTTAAGAGCATTGACCGACTTTAGAACAATTAATATTTATGACAACAACATCACTATCGATTCTCTAAATAACATAATTTAGCACAATATAAAAACCCTATAATTTTTTCCCACAATAAACGTTTACCAATGAATACCAAAAATATGACAATAACACACAGTCGCGAATTTTCCCGCTAATGAATATAAAAGTAATAAAGTGATACCTGTAACCTATTATTGTTTGTCTAAATTCTCCCCCGGAATATCTGAATAATAATTACTAGTTTGATTACTTTAATAGTGTGATTATCGTTTTAATTCTACGTAAAAGAAACCTTACAGAAAGAAAAGTATACCGCTGACAAAAGGTCTACCGGGCGTAAGTTCGTCGGGTCAGCCAGAAGGGTGACGAAATCCACTACGAACGTCGCCTGGAGTAGTACCTTTAATCATTTAGTAACATTTTATAATGTTGAATCGGAGATATAAAATATCTGGCGTTTAACTAGACTAGCGTAGTATCACTAGTATCAGTTACGCCGATATCTTAGTCGCTCGGTAGATACAACTTTACAAAACAGTTCTAGGAGTGAAATCTGTTTCTACTCAACGTGTATCTGCTTGGTCAACCTGACTATATATCTCCTTTTACTTCTATATAGAATATAAGAAAAAGGTGGTCATCCTAAGGACAACTGGATATCTATGCAGAAGCCGTAGTTTATAGAAACTAATTTCTCTACTCCGTCGATATCTTTTATTTCCGTTGTCAAAATATAACAAAAACGCGGCCACCGTAAGGGTAGCGATATCTCTTTTTAATTATATTTGAAGAATATAAAGAAAAAGGAGTCACCGTGCGGTATCCTGGATATTTGCGTATGTTGTTAACTCGACTCGGTGAAGAAGAAAAAACTAATCCCCCAGCCCTCAAAAACCCGGGTATTTATACTTAAATTTCCCATATACGCCAATGTATCGGAAAGAGCAGGACTATGCGTTCGGGCATAAAGACTATAAAGCCCTGTATTAATTCCTGAATATAGCCCTATCGGTTACATCTGTTTTGTTCTAGCGACCGTTAGAGTTTACGCGTAGATATTTCTTTTCCCAGAAGTAATTAAACGGCGCCTACTAGGCGGGATGCTGCGATGTTGTTTGAATTCGAAATAAAAATTTGGATATAATATGTAATATATAAGAATTATTTAAGTTAATTATCAACCCCCGGTTGTCGGATTTCATTATAACTCCCACATTTAAGATAATAAACACATTCCAAAGATATGCTTATTTTGTTACCAGACCTAAGCAATTTCACATGGAGAGATCTTATAATTGCAATAAAATGTAGAACTTACAAGGCAAATTGATGAAAAGGGTAGGTACAAAAATGATCTGTAAACCTTAATTACCTACATGAATAAGTGTTGTAATAAACTTTTTATTAAATATAAACGCAGAAGATTGTTTTCAATAGATTCATTACTTATACAACTTTAATCATTTACAAAATAAATCAAAGGTTTGTAGGTGTAACTACACACAGATTGATAAAGAAAAACGAAGGAAAGGTAGGTCTTTTCAAGTGTTGAAATTTTATAAGTATTCGCCAAGAGACATTTAAAAATTGAAAATACCTTTATTCGTTTCATCGTTTCCTTTCTTTATCTACAAAATAATATAAAAGCTTATAACAGCAATTACTATCGTCTTTATTTTTTATTTTATTTCTGCTTCGCCCACTTCTACTTTTGATATCTAAATTAAAATTTGACATTGACATCAGTACATTATTCATATTTAAGATCAACAATAACTAGACTAGACAATAACCTAGACCTCGACAAACATGAAAGAAGCATTACTTTAAACTGGCAACAATAAATAATATTGCAAAATTATTAGAGTTATAAATAAAATACAATTATATTTCATCTTGAATATAATAGATGTCCATGCTCCGTGAACATTAAAATAACCTGTCAAATGATTGACCGATCACCTGATGGCCAGATTTTGAAGTTGGAACATGTTGATATTAAAATATACTTTATCTAGCTCTTATAATGGTCAAACGGGTACCTCACCTTTTAACGACCTCTGGCGAATTTTTTGGAACTACGTTGTGTTTGGTGCCATATCGACTTTTGTTTTTATATGGGATTTTAGGGAAGTTGAAACACCTATTGTCTTTCATCGTGGGTCAGACCCATGATACTAGGACGAACAGATAAGCTCACTTAGGGTACGAATTTTGGATCGAGCCACGCATAAAATCATCGCGTGCCCAAAAGTGTTGGTAATATACGGGGACGCTGTAGCTTTTCATTGTATTTTTGTTTGAAAATTACTGAAATATTTTTTATGACTATTTTATATTATATTACCTAATTAGGTTAAATAAAAACAAGTTAATGTACACAATATAATTAATTTATTTAATAGAAGAAATAAATTTAGGTAAACATTATTCGGTTTTAATTTATTTAGATTGTAAGATATTTTTGTGCGTTTAAAAATCTTCTCACTTATAAACAAATAAAATTTATAATCACTAGTGTAATAAATCAATTTAGGCCTTTATAGTAGTTTTATTTGAACAGTACAAAATAGCTAAAGAAAATATAGATAAATAAGTTTTGAAATTCATATTGGAAAATAGTTTTATGGTTTATTTTTTAAACATATTGTACTTATTATGTCTAAATTTAAAGTTCAATATTTATTTGACTACTTTTGACATTTTACGCATTCGCATTTTGGATCCGAGGTTTCTTTTCTAAAAAAAGAGACTTTTAACCTCATCTGGTAAATCTACTTTTTTGCTAAATTATTAACATTTTTAAGGAAGTTTTTTTTAATTATATATATTGGCCTTTGAATATTTTGGCAGTTTAAGTAAAGGTACAGATTATCTTTCAGTTTTCACGTATTCTTCGCAATTCAAATATTTTTTCTATAAAGCAGAAATCTTCATCTGAAAAATGCTTCGCACATATTCTCGAATTTTTAATATTAAAATTATGTTTTTAATAGCATTTTTCCACCCATAATATTTTATTTTCCTTAGCAGTTGGAAAAGTAACGTATCGGCAGTTAGGCGAATAGTTTTTTGCTGTTTACTTATTGTTACTGGTATAATCAGTCACTGCACAGCAAACCATTATTTCTTAACGTAATAAAAAACCAAAACTTAATGATCAAAGCAACTAAAATTACGTATTCACACGAAATAATTAAAACACAACACTGAGAAAAGCGAACTAAAATGCATGCATTCAGCCATTCACTTCAAATAACAAGCCAAAAATTTGTCACGCGTTGACGTCACCTGAGGAAGAGAAAGATAAAATATCATGCGTGTGAGCTTATCTGTTCGTCCTAGTATTATGGGCCAGACCTTCGTAGATGAAATGTAAGAATACCAACCACTTTTGTAACAACCTTAAATAAACAACATAACATCGAATTCTCGTGTTCTTCGGTTGGGCTTCTGGAGACTTGAAGACGAATAAGAGAAGCTAAAGGAATAACGTACGGTTGGAAGAGACGTTGAAGAAGCGCGTGGAGACACTTAAGACGAAGAAGAGGAGTCGGATGAGAGACGTAGGATCATCTTTGGTTGAGAAAGACGTTAAATAAGCCTCTGGAGATTGTACTTTTGTGGTTCTACTTTCTGTTCGTGTTCTGTTTTACACAAATTACCTTGTTTATTTAGCCTTTTGTAATTGGAAAGTATTTTTATTTAGTTTCATTTCCGCCACCCCCAAAAAAATATATTAAACCTGAACAGCAGAAACATACAATAGTCCATTTTTGCGTACTATCTCCCTATTTGTTCTATTTATCCTCTTCTTTGTTATCGATCATATAATATAAAAATACCTTTAATCTAAATATCTACAATCATATGTTTCTTTACGCGAATTTGACGTCATTAATAATTAATAGATACCTTTATAATTTAATAATAATATAATATATAATTATTTAATGAAACGGCAGAAGCAGATAACATGAACAGTTTTAAAACAACGAATATTTTTCTATAGAGATTTTTGTAGTTTGTTTTAGGGTATTAAACATTGGAAATGTTTTCCATTGACTTCATGGCAGAAATCTACTGTTTATTAAAACCCCTGCCTAACTTTCTTTAAAACTTAGGTGAAATAGTTTGTATTTAAGTCATATGTAGTTGAATTCAAAAGATCCAGTGTAATTTAAAAATATGAAAATATGCAGATATATGTTCCAATTTTATTGTAAAGGATGTGCTATCTAGATTAAATATTGAAGTGTCCAAGCATTTAAAATTTTTCCAAAATATAGCCAAAAATAAACTTATTTCAAAATGTTATTGATGTTAGACGGACCATTCCAAAGATACTCACACGTATTTCCAAATTTTACGAGCACACTGTATATTTATTTCAAATTTTGTTTCTTCCTTAGCGGAAGTGTCCCCACGAGTTCATACATTAGAAAAGTATCAACGTCAACAAAAATCCTAAACGGTAAGAAAATGACAACAAAGAGAATTTACGAAAATGGAAAAGAAGTTGTCATGAATTACGAAAACGACGTTTTGACATCGAAAACAGTCAACGGAGTCCCTCAGTCAATTCAGTATAGAGATCATTGAAGAAAATACAATATTTTTGTTTTATTGTCCCAATGTCTGTTTTTAGTCTTACATAAATAAACTGACTTATGAAGCATAAGTGTGATCTTTTTAACTTAAAAATGAACTGAATTCACAAGATAACTACAATTTAAACTGCAACAAATTGACATTGTGTTAATAACGAAACAATAATCAAATAACTGTTACTGCAACGTTGTTTGTCAAATTACTAGATTCATAAGTCCCATTCTTTCTTTGAAACAATATCACTGGAAGGAACATGCTCATCTATACAGATAGCAGACAAGCACTACTCACCTGAACAGACCACGAATTTACTCAGGGTTAGTACTAGAATGTCACGAAGCTTTGGCAGAAGTATCCATTAACAATATGGTCACCTTAAGATGGATCAAAGGTCACGCCACATCGAAAGGTAAAAGTCTTGCTGATTCACTAGCCAAGAAAGCAGCCAACCAAATACTTTTGGCCCTTCTATTGGCCTGACAAAATAGGTAGTAACAGACCTAATCAAAGAACATTCCTTTGTGAAAGTCAAGGAATGATGGGATGGAACAAGAAACTGCGAAGTTGCCAGGGAGCTCTTAAGTTATCCTGACAACATTGCAGCAAACAAATACTTGACTATGACTAGTCAGAATCTGCGCCTAGTTACAGGCATTTTGACTGGTCATTGCCAAGTACGAAAGCATCTCCATATCATGAGGCTGTCAGAATCCGCACTCTGCAGAGGGTGCGAACAAGAAGATGAGACCATCGAGCATATTCTTTAAGATTGCTCGACGCTCTCATTTATTAGAAGATTTTTGTTCGGCGAGTATCGGCTAACACCGGCCGATATAAGAGAAGCACCTATTGGCGACGTTGTCAACTACATTTAATCTGTAGGCTGGCTCACGAGCTAGGAGGTGCCTATCATCTCAGGAGGATGCACAATGGGCCTAATGAGGCCTAAGTGCCGTGAGGGTAACCCACCCTCCACACGTTACAGATACAGAGAAGTCCCATTCTTTGACTGTTTTTTTAAATATTGTTTGCAGATCGTAAAAAAAGTAGTTTAGCGGTAATTAACCAAATTTGTTTTAATGTTTAAATGAATACAATATAGGAACGTTTTATAAACCGTCAAATATATTATCTTCATTTCAGAACCGTTTTACTCCGAGCTCTTCAATTTTTCTAATAGGTATTCTTATTTAATAATGACTTATTGTTTGTTTAACAACTTAATAATTATTAAATGAGTTATTGAAACGTACCGTTTAAAAAAAAATAAAATTTGATCTTATGTATAACCTCAGTACGTTAGTACAGTGATAGGACCAGCAGTGTTACTCGGCACTACATTAACTTCGTGATTTAAAAAAAAAATACCAACGGGCGGGTAGGTCTTTAATTGATATGTATGAATTAAAACAACAAATGCACAAGCTCTGCTTTCAGTACTCTGCATTGCGAAATATTTATTCATAATAGATATTACAAATACAGATTTACGAGTAAGTAAAAAATTATCGTTGATCTTTTTCATTTAATTTATATTCGCAAGTTTACTATATTATTACCTTCAGTATAAGTCAATATTAATTAATATATTACAGAAATCAAAAGTATCATTAGCTAATAACATACAACACAAACACTTGTACGATGTAGGTGTTCGTATATAAGGTGTTGGGATAATATTGTATTAATGTTGACAATGAAAATAAACCGATATTATGTCAATTCTTTCTTTCATCGAGTTGTTGGCGTTGTTTGAGTATTGCGAGGGCTTAATAGTTTGTAGAATAACGCCTTCATGAGAGTTTCTTTCATTGGACATTTTGTAATAGATGTTAATATCGTTTCAAACGAATTTGTTGGTGCGTTTGGCTCAGACAGATCAGATGTGATAAGGGGTCCGCCACATTTATTCGTTTGTTTTCAAGCACTGTCGAGATCGAAATGATAAATATATTTAAAAATTACATAAAGGAAGTATATTTGTATTCTTAATACCAGTTATTATCAGTTTAATGTCCTGTTCTCGTTGCAACTATGATAGTTGAAGGTAATTTATTTTGTTATTTATTTTGAAGTGAGATAGCAGTTTAATCAAGCGTCGTAGTCGTAAGTACTGATTCATTCATAAAATGCGTTTTCGCGCCTCAGATAAACATGCTGGCACAAATCATCCCCTTCCAATTTAGCAGCCGTTCCAAAGCGGCAGCCGATGCGACAGCTTCGTCTGCCTAGTAAAAATTGCAAACACCTACTAGAGCTCATTTTATATCGAGTTTGACGTAAATTATCTTATCTAAAATAAATGCTTGCTATGGGAATTGGATTTCTTCAAAAATGGCGCACAGGTCCTTACGTTTTAATAGTATGTAAATTGTTTAACTTTTCTACGAAAAGGGCATTCCTATACTTTTTCTATGGCTACAACATTGAAATGATTGTATTATACTAATTAAGGAATAAGAAAATTTAGCTCATTTCTTAATTAACAAAAGTTAAGAAATTGTAAAGGGTAATCTACATCTTTGTTTTTCTAAATTAGGTCATGACCGACAAAGTCAGAAATACGAGTCATGTCCGTGATAACTACGGAAGTCTTTCAATTAAATTCAAAGTAATACAAGAAGACGAATTAAATGATCCGACATGCGTAAATTTTTCCAAGATCTACTTTAGAATTTTTTTGTGAATCACTTTATAGTTTTGTATTATGTCCAACCCTTCCATGACCACCTCTTCTCAGATCTGATAATGGAGTAGAAAATATCTTTGCATACTAATGCTACTTATCACTAGGATCAAACTGTAACACGAAATACACTGGCGAGCAAAAAATTGAGGTCACTTCAGAAATTGCGAGTAATTTTAGCGTCAATATTGATAAGGACATAATAGTATTAGTGGGCGTTGAAGCAATTGTTTTCCGAGACTTGACAGCTGTCATTCTATTTATTAGAATACAAAGGCCCCCTGTTTGTACGACTTTTATGAAAAATGTGCCTTAACTCTAATTGAACATTCACATTTCCCTTGCCTGTTTTCCAGTTTACTGTTGATTCTTTGTGTAAAACCTAACGATTGCAAAGTGTAGTGATTTAACAGGCCCATAATGCCTTTAGATCCGATTGTTGTGGCAAGAATTGTTGCGCTGTTACAGGATGGTCGGGGGCAACGTGAAACTGCAAGAATTATTGGTGCTAGTCTTTGTGGTGTGCAAAGGGTGTACCAGCACTTTCTGGAGACTGGCCTGATCACTAGAAGACCAGGGTCTGAGCGAAAAAGAGTTACCACTCAACGAGATGGCCGTTTTTTGGTGTCCACAAGTTTGCGGGATAGGACAGCTACTGCGGTTTCACTGCGAAATCAGTTGGAAAAAGTGAGAAATGTCAACCTTAGTAAATGGACAGTTAGAAGAAGACATCATGCTGCTGAACTGTCATGCAGAAGAATGGCTATAGGTCCCCCGTTGCAACGCCAGCATTGGACTGCAAGATTGACATTTGCCAGGGATCACGTTCGTTAGAATGATGATGACTGGAACTGGGTAGTGTTCTCAGATGAGTCGCGTTTTTGTCTCACTGGGTCAGATGGACGTCGACGAGTGTGGAGAAGACCTGGGGAAAAATGTGCTGAAGTTTGCATTGACGAGTGTCTTCCATTTGGCAGTGGATCAGTTATGGTTTGGTGGGAATTACTGCACAAGCTCGTACAGAGTTGGTCTTCATAGAAAATGGCTCCCTAACCTCTTACGCCGACTTCAAGAAGTCATCAATGCAAGAGGAGGGAATACACGTTATTAGTGTCAAGTTTTTTCTTTTTTTTGGTTCCATATCCCTAACAACAAAATGTTGAATTTTGCCCAAAATGTTAATTTGTTGCTTTTTTAGAATAAATCATGAAATCCAAGAAAAAGATGCATTTCTGTTTAGTATAGGGTATCACATTCAGCTAACAAAAGCACATGCTATGATGTACAGTTTGCGAATACGATCTAAAAACGTAAAATTTCAAAGAACTTGAAAATTTTAAGGTGACCTCAATTTTTTGCTCGCCAGTGTAAGAGGCAAAGAAGTATTAAAGTCTAAAGTAGTCGTTGGTTATAATGAAGGTAAATCATTAATTTGCCAGTTATGGGTTTTGTTTAAGGTGATTACAGCACCCCTCATAATTTTCAGACAAGGATATCTTAAAAAGTGATTTTGTTAAAAAATTAATTTTGACAAAATAAATTAGGCAATATTATCTAGCTATACATGTATTTTAAAGTTTTAATTTCTTTCAGTTTCCGAGACAGAATCAAAGAGCTTTAAATTTTAAAATATCATATTGAAATATCGTATTGAAAATAAATGCATTTCTCAATAGCAATATTCTTAATATAATCCCCAAATTTATAGAGAATTATATTATAAACAACTTTTAGCACGCACGCACGCACTCACGCACGCACGCACGCACGCACGCACGCACGCACGCACGCACGCATGCACACACACAAACACAAACACACACACACAACACACACACACACACACACACACACACACACACACACACACACACACACACACACATCATCGGAAAAATAGTCAAAACGGATTCATGGATCTCAAAACGTAAAAATCCTTCAAAAACTCGAGGTCGAAAACATCATGATTCCTATACTTTCCTTATATCTGTATACAGATAGGAAAGTAAAAATTATATGAATTTAAAAAATAAATATTCCAAAAATATTTTTGGATAAACAGGGTGTTGCGTGTTTGCCTGACAAATAAAAATTTACATTTTTTAAATTGAACATCCTGTATTTTTTTTTCAGTTTTAGAATGGTTTAGTAATACTGTATTCAAACCTAGAATGTTTTTAAAAAATATTGCAGAGTTGCCAAGCAATTACTTTTTTTATGAAATTGGATATTGATGTAGACCCCTAATTAAATTATCACAATTTAGGGTAGCTTTACAATTATTTTAAAATACAGATGGCTAATTTTAAGTTCAATTTACTCAATTTTTTCAAAAGCAACACCCTGTATATTATTTTAGCATCAAATTCGTTATACATTTTTCT